CCCCAAAACCCCAAAACCCCAAAACCCCAATAAGATTTGGACAGTAGCTAAGGTTAATAAAAAATATTTAGACTAGTTAGGCTATATCTAGCTTTAAATGAGTTAATCATCATCACAGAACTCAGCTTGGTTTGATCAATAATGCTCTTATTTTACTGTTACCAATAAATATTGCTAAAAATATTAAATACTCGAAGCTAAATAAAAAAAATTCTCTAAGCTACACCTAATCTATAACCACCAGACTTCATTTCACTCTCTATGAAATAAATTCATACGCCACGATCAAAACCTTCTACTCCCTCTTCCTTCATATCTAGCCCATACAGATAAAACTATGAATTAGAATTTAGTTCAAGCAATCTCTTAATTCTCACACAAGCCTAAACAAGCCAATAGTCAAGTAACCATACAAAAGCGTTGAGATAGGTATAAACTAAGTATGAAGGATAGAACAGAGCCTCAGCCATAAGCCAAGTTCAAGTGTAAAGAGATATTATTAGGGATTCTATAAACTTCAGAAAACTCGTCGTAAGGAAGTTAAAGATCAGCTTTTACAGCGAAACCCATTTGTGGAGCTTCCTCATCTCTTCTTTCCCACTTTGCAGAATTTTTCTAAAGGAAGGATACTCCAATAACTATTGTAGGACACTGAGGGTAGTTAAATACATCCATATCAAACATATCTAACTCACGATAGCCTTTCCAATTCAGAGTATACACCAAGCAATTGAAACCATAAGAAGCTCTGCCTATTACATATGCTATATCAGGAAGTTGAACCCTTCAAGTTCTCGAAGAAATCGATCGATTAATCCACTTGTCCCAAGTACCAGACTCAAACAATATGGAAGACTTGGTCTTCGATTGAGTTAGAGTTGGCACCTGTGTCTACAATGCCTATACATCCACACTATTCCTATCAAATCCCTTCTGAGACTCCATCGACTAGAACATCGTTGATTTTGATATTCCAGTGTTCTCTCTTCATACAGGAACATAGTTAATCTCACCTTAGTAATATTTTTCCAAAATTCCTCCAAAATATAAGTCAGCTTTCTCCAAATCACTGTAATAATAAGTTATTAAATGAGCTTCATGAAGAAGCCTTTGCTGGATTATATTATCGAATAGAAGAGTCTCTGCGCTTGGAGAGAGTTCAGGGAAAGCTAACCCAATTAATCATGAAAAATGTGGTGTTGACTATTCATCTTCTGAGGTTATTAATACTAAATCGTTCTCTTGGATTTATAATGTTCCTAAGTAAACTGATTCCGAATTGCGGTTCCGTCTAAGTATCCATCAGCATAGGACAAAGTCTCTGATAAGAAACAGAGTTGTCATATGTCTCTGAGTTTCTAGGTTAGAATTGAAGATTTATTCCCCAGTTTTAATCATTGCAGTCAAACAAGTTAGAGAAATAACCAGTCAGTATTTAGATGGGTTTTAATGATCTTTTAGATATGAAATAGAATGATGAATTTTCGAGAAAAAAAGAGGAAATTTTGAGTTTAAAAAACTTTCTTCACAAAAATAATGTAAGAGCCTGTATAGAAAATACTGTAGAAGGTTTGAGGAGGGTTTCTCATTCCAACCACAACAATGAAGCCGTAAAAAATAAGTATGTCATTGGAGAAGCCACCTCTTTAGCATTTGTATCTTTTCTCCGCTTAGGAATCAAAATAATCATCAACTTGATATCGCAACTGGACAAAAAGATTTATCAAACTTATATTAAAATCATATTTATTCCAAATATTTCTAACATTAACATCAGCTCCCAAATGTTTAACAAGCCTATACATCTTTCCTTGGTCTTCACCTAAACCTTTGCTCTCCTCATGTAAGTCTCCAAATGGCACTGATCAACCTCCCTTTGCAATAAGCAAGAGACCCACAAAAAGCAAATGCTAAACTTCTAATAAAAGTGTGCATATTTACAATAAATATTTCAAAATATTCTTCAAAGTTTGGGGTTTTGGGGTTTTGGGGTTTTGGGG